TGAATACTCATGGGGCTAGGAAAATATACAAAATTGGGCCTATTCAATAACTCAAAAGGGTTGGAATCAATTTAATCGGACCGAAATAAAATACAACGCGATAACAAGAATTTCTGAGATATTCAATAGACGGCGAGTAATAAATTAATCCGCATGATACATATACATATCACACACAATTTATTTAATAATAACTATTTAAAAAACAATTTAGACAATTAATATTAATAATAGTAATATGTTATGAATTCTCTGGTGCAGTTGGGTGATGGAAGTAATTATGAAAAGAGGAGAGAAATTGAAGAAGGTGAAGAACGAGTTGAACAAGAAATGGAGAAGACAAACACTTCAGATAGGGTTTTGTCTGAAATGGGAGACATGGTCGAGATTATGCCACGTGGAATGCCCAAGGCCGCCGATCAAATGCAGTGAAGTGAAGTGGAATGAGCAACGTGGCAGCTGCAGCTTAAACATGCATTTTATGTTTACTTTTATTTTTATTTTTATTTCTATTTTATTAGTGGTATTTGTTACATTGGGAATTATCCCAAGTTGTTATTTGTGGCCCCATTTGGGGAACAACTTTCAGCTATTTACCCAAGGGAAAAATGAGAAAACGGTTATGGAAAAAATTATTCTGCAAATCTCTTTCTCTCTCTACATTCTCCTCCTCCATTCTCTTTTCTCTCTCTAAAAAAACTCTACTACTATCTTCAATTTAAAGCTTAAATTATCATAAGAAAAATCACAAAAAACATAAAAAAATCCTATCTATTACATTTGGTATCCAGAGCCAGCCTTTCCTTGGAAGATCGCTGAAGGAATTCGAAGCAAAGACCTACAAGAAACCAATAAAAAGATTGATCAGCTCTTGCAAACCGAAGCCCTCAAAAGAGAAGCATCATAACTGAAGATGCAAGAGAAAATGGATGCTATTAATTCTCAATTAAAAGTAATTGTTGAAGGTTTCAACCTAGAAATCATGGAGCAAAAATCAAATGTCAACAACAGGCTCGAGCAATTGGCCAACTCCCTAGCCTCTATCCAGTTGCAGCTTCTTAACACACACAAGGACAAAAACAGTGAGGATGAAGATTCAATATTGGGAGACCCAAGGAAGAACTTCCACCAGCAATTCAAAGATAAACAGCATAAAATCATCAAGGGAACAAACAATAATGAACAAGGCAACAATCAGTTCATGACCCTAACTCCAAAAATTGAGTTTCCCAAATTTGATGGGACAAACCCCAGAGCTTGGATTTTAAAGTGCAATGGATATTTTAAGCTGGTACCTGTTGTTTCAGAAGCCCAAAAGGTCATCTTAGCATCAATGCACATAGAGGGTAAAGCTGCCTTATGGTTCCAGAACCTGAGTATGAAACAAACTGAATCAGAATGGCCACAGTTTGTAGAAATAATCTCAGCTAGGTTTGAGGAACTCAGAGATGTCAAAATCATTGCTGAATTTAACAAGTTAAAGCACACTGGTGCATATGCTGATTATGTGGAGAAATTTGAAGAGTTGAAAGTCTGCGTGCAATTAATGAGTCAGGGGGATTTTTCTGAAGAGTATTATGTTGCCAGTTTCATAAGTGGGCTTAGTGAGGAATAGCAGGCATTCTTACACATGTTTATTCCCAAGACTCTTCAGCAAGCAATTGATTTGGGACAACAACAACTACTTACATTGGAGGCCATCACCAAGAAGCTCAAAGGTTATCACAAACCTTATTCACACCTACAGGGCAGTAATATACACAGAACACCAGCAAATCCTACTCCTATAAACATGATACCTCAGGCTACCTACACCAAACCCAACACCAAGCTTCTTACTGCAGTTGAAATGGCAGTCAAGAGGGAGAAGGGGTTGTGCTACAATTGTGATGAGGGTTTGTTCCTGGCCACAAGTGCAAGCAAAGGATCAACTACATGATCATGATAGAAGAGGAGGAATTAGCTTATTTGCAGGCAGAGGATATGGGTAAAACCTATGAAGAAGTGAGCCAAGATACTTTAGATGAGGTGCACATTTCCCTAAATGTAGTTGATGGAGAGGGTAGTTCGTCCACCCTAAGGTTTGTGGGATACATAAGGGATCAAAGGTTAAATATCCTCATTGACACTGGGAGTACCCTCAACATTATCAAGGAATCTACTGCAAAGGCTTTAAAGTGTCCTTTAACCCCAGTTAATCCCTTGAAAGTTAAGGTGGCCAATGGACAGAAGTTGTTCAGCAACCTTCAAGCCAAAAACCTCACATGGAAGGTACAAGGGGAAGAGATTACTTACTCACTCAGATTATTGCAAAGTGAGGGTTGTGATATCATCCTAGGAAGGGATTGGTTAAGAACTTGTTCTCCAATAGAGCTGAACTATGAGAGCATGACTGTGACTGTCAACTTACAAGGAAGGAGAGTGACTCTACATGCCCTAAACCCCGGTGCTGAGTGCCATCTAATTTCTGAACACACCTTGGACACATTATTACATACTGAGGAAGGGGACCAAATTGAAGAAATGTACTTGTTAATCCTTGAACATACTGACCCTGACAGAAGAAGTGACCTAAAATCCATACTGAAGGAATACCAAGATGTTTTTAGTGAACCACAAGGGCTACCTCCTGAGAGGGGTACAGAACATCACATCATTCTTAAACCAGGTAGCTCACCAAGACAGCAATACCCTTACAGGGTGTCACATGATCAGAAAAATGTTATTGAAGGAAAAAGGAGATGTTGCAATCTGGCATCATACAAAATAGCAAATATCCATTTGCTTCCCCAGTTTTATTGGTAAGAAAGAAGGATAACACTTGGAGGCTATGTGTGGATTACAGGTATCTAAATGGCTTCACTGTCAAGCATGAGTATCTTGTTCCAGTTATAGAGGAGCTACTTGATGAGTTACATGGGGCTAAGTGCTTTTCCAAGATTGACCTGAGGTCAGGATATTTTTAGATACTCATGAATGAAGAGCACAGGTACTTAACAGCACTCAAAACTCACAGTGGGCACTATGAGTTTTTAGTCATGCCTTTTGGGTTTTGTAATGCACCAGCAACATTTCAGTCTCTAATGAATCAATTGTTCAAGGACTGTTTGAGGAAGTTTGTTTTGGTTTTTTTTGATGATATGATTTATAGCAAGAATTGGGAAGAACACTCATAACACCTTAAGGTTGTCTTACAGGTATTGAGGGACCACTCCTTGTTTGCATATGAGAGTAAGTGTCACTTTGGTGATACAAGTGTGGAATATCTGGGCCATATTATCATAGAAAAAGGAGTAGCTACTGATCTTGCCAAGGTGGAAAGCATGCTTAACTGGCCCATTCCCAATACAGTTAAAAAGTTAAGAGGATTCCTAGGGCTAACAGGCTACTACAGAAGATTAGTCAAGAACTATGGGCAGATCAACAAACTACTTACTACTTTACTAAGAAAAGATCAATTTAAGTGGAATGTTGAGGTAGAACAAGCTCTTGTGCAGCTTAAGGAGGCTATGACTAAGGCACCAGTGCTGGCCTTGCCAGACTTTTCAAAACCCTTTGTCCTAGAAACTGATGCAAGTGGATATGGAATAGGGGTTGTTCTAATGCAAGATGGTCAACCCATAGCTTTCCTCAGTAAGGCCTTATGTCCAAAGAACCAGGCCTTATCTGTATATGAAAGAGAATTTTTGGCAGTATTGTTGGCAGTACAAAAGTGGATACACTATCTACAGGGGCATAAATTCACCATCAAAACAGATCAGCAGGCCCTCAAGTACCTACTGGACCAGAAGAATGTTAATCCCTGGCAACAGAAAGGAGTTATCAAGCTCCTAGGGTTTGACTATGAAATACAGTATAATAAAGGTAAGGAGAACAAAGTTGCAGATGCATTGTCTAGAACAGGTGGTGACTCCACAATCTGTTCAGCCATGACCTCTGTAACACATAAGTGGTTGCAGAAGGTCTTAGAGAGTTATCAAGAGGACTCCTCACTCAAGGAGTTGAAAGAGAGGCTAATCTTAGACCCTGGTGCTGAACCTCACTATACCTTATAGGGGGATGTAATCAGATTTAAAGGAAGGTTGTGCATTGGAAGAGATGACAAGTTCAAACAAGAGCTAATTACCTTAATGCATAGCTCACCACTCGGTGGAAACTCAGGCATACAAGGAACTTACATGAGACTCAAGAAGGCTTTCTATTGGACAGGAATGAAGCAAGAAGTGGCACAGTTCATCAATACTTGTGACACTTGCAGAATCAATAAACCATCATATGAACCTACTCCTGGGTTACTATAGCCACTACCCATACCACAGGAGCCTTGGACACACATCTCAATGGATTTCATTGAGGGGTTGCCCAAATCTGGAGGGAAGGATAGTATTTTGTTAATCATTTATAGGTTGACTAAGTTTGGCCACTTCATCCCATTGTCTCACCCCTATACAGCCCAAGGAATTGCTAAGGTGTTCCTAGATCAAGTCTACAAGCTCCATGGAATGCCAGCTTGTATTATAACAGACATAGACAAGATTTTTACCAGTTTATTTTGGAGGGAATTGTTTGAAATGGTTAGGTTTACTTTGAGCTTTTCTTCCTCTTACCATCCACAGACAGATGGTAAAACTGAAAGGCTCAACCAGTGCCTTGAGAGTTACCTCAGGTGTATGTTACATCACTCTCCTAAAAAGTGGGTGCACTGGATTTCTCTTGCTGAGTACTGGTATAATACCAATTATCACACAGCACTCAAAGCTACACCCTTTCAAGCTCTCTATGGCTACTCTCCTAACTCTCTTTCTCTACAAGCCTATTTGGACTATACCCACCAAGATGCTAAGGATTTCATCAGACAGAGGCATAATATGATGCAGGGGTTAAAACAAAATCTCCTAGAGGCACAAAACCGCATTAAAGTTTATGCAGACAAAAAGAGGAAAGAGAGACATTTTGAAGTGGGTGACTGGGTTTACCTCAAACTCCAACCTTATCGCCAGAACTCAGTGCAAATGAGGAGGAACCTGAAATTGAGCTCAAGGTACTTCGGCCCCTACAAAATAATCGAAATGTGGGTCAAGTAGCCTATAAATTGGAACTTCTAGAGGGATCCAAGGTCCACCCTGTGTTCCATGTATCTCTTTTAAAGGGAAAACTGGGAGAAGGTAACTCATCTGTTGCAGATCTGCCGGAGACGGGAGAAGATGGCCTCTTCAAGGCAAACCCCACCGAGATCCTCGACCGTCGTACGGTTCTAAGGTATGGAGAAGAAGTGCAGCAGCTGTTGGTCGCTTGGGGAGACAAAACCTTGAACATCAACTCTTGGGAAGATGAAAAATTTGTTCTCAAAAAGTTCGGAGCTTTGGATCCTTGTGGGCAAGGATCTAAAAATGGGGGGGAATGTTGTGAATTCTCTGGTGCAGTTGGGTGATGGAAGTAATTATGAAAAGAGGAGTGAAATTGAAGAAGGTGAAGAACGAGTGGAACAAGAAATGGAGAAGACAAACACTTCAGATAGGGTTTTGTCTGAAATGGGAGACACGGTCGAGATTATGCGTGGAATGCCCAAGACCGTCGATCAAATGCAGTGAAGTGAAGTGGAATGAGCAACGTGGCAGCTGCAGCTTAAACATGCATTTTATGTTTACTTTTATTTTTATTTTTATTTTTATTTTATTAGTGGTATTTGTTAAATTGGGAATTATCCCAAGTTGTTATTTGTGGGCCCATTTGGGGAACAACTTTCAACTATTTACCCAAGGGAAAAATGAGAAAACGGTTATGGGAAAAATTATTCTGCAAATCTCTTTCTCTCTCTACATTCTCCTCCTCCATTCTCTTTTCTCTCTCTAAAAAAAAACTCCATTACTATCTTCAATTTACAGCTTAAATTATCATAAGAAAAATCACAAAAAACATAAAAAATCCTATCTATTACATAATATTACTAATAACAACAAATAATAGCTAATTGGCATTTAACATCAATAATAATAATAATAATAATAAAATAATAATAACAACAATAAAAATAATAAAGACAATTAATAATAGTCATAATCAATAATTATTACCAAATAACCACAATAAAACAGGATATTACAAGTTATCTCCTGTTTCTCAAGAATTTCTTTTTTTGCAATGACATTTAGTAATTTCTTGCTTAATATCATATTTTAGCCGCTATAGGTTCTAAATCTTGTTTAAAACCTTTAGACGGTTGGTGCACATATTAATATAAATTATCTATCTGTTTTTTGAAGGATTTTTATATCTTGTCTGCCATCCGTCATTGTGTAATTCATTATTTTTGTTTGTTTGTTTTGCCTTTAGCAAAATGAAGTGTGTCAATAGCTTCAAAAATAACACTTGTCACAAAGATAGACCATAAATGCACTACCCTTACATGTAGCATAAAATTTTCCCTCTAAATTGGTCTTCTCTAGGACTTTAGGTCTAGCCTGATACCTTCTCTTTTTTTTTTTTCGGTACAATAAAGGGGGGCCGAAGCCTAAAAA